TTTTTTAAAGATTTATTTATGCATACAAGAAGTGGCGTACAGGCCAGAGGTGTGTGGGTGGGGTGTGGATGTGTTGTGAAAGGATTCACCAGAGACAGAGTAGTGAACAGAACAGGCAGGTTGATTGAAATACACTGCTGAGGGGAGCAGGAGAGTTCTGACATGCCATGTGTGTCAGCTCCTTGGCCTGGGATGCTGCATAAGCTGCTAATAGCTTCATAGTGCTGCAACTTAACCCATTGCACCACTAGATGGGCTCCTATATTTTTTAATCCATCTGTTGATGGACATGTAGATTGATGATATTGTGGTCTTGGATATTGTGAGTATTGTAGCTATGAACATAGTAGCGGTATTGCTTGGTCATGTGGTATTTCTGTTTTTAGTTTTTAAAGCATCTATACCATTTTTCTATAGATTGTGTACCAATTTCCACCATCAGTAAATTCAGTTATTCCTTCACTAATACCCCAGTAGTTGTTTATAGTTTTCTTGATACAGGGCCAGAGAGCTGTATATTTTAACTAAAATGTTGGGGTACATGTAGAAGTTAGGTAGAGGGAGTAAGAATAATTTGAGATAGGTTTATTACATAATTTTAAAAATTATGTATGTCCACAAAAGTGACATTATATAAATACAGCTCCTTCCAAAAAAAAGAAAGTTTTAATTGTTAGTAACCAATTGGAGATTTTTAGCTACCTGTATTTAGAATTACTCTAGAATACCAAGTCCATAGTTAGTCTTAGTGCTTTGGAAATGTTCATACATGAAAGATTCTCTTGGGGTTTGCCCAATTTCCTGGATTTACAAAATCTGTAATACTAATGCAATAAAACTATTGAATGAGTAGGTAAATTACATTAGTGTGGTCTACATGTTAGAAAGTATACTTCGGCTGATGTACACTTTTCTGTTCTTCATGGATGATAATGAGAAGAAAAGGTGGTTAATGAGAATAGTACTCAGTAACGATCCCATCTCTTTCAAAAATGGGCCATTGTAGTAATTAAGTATTCAGCTTAGTGGTGGACATTATTTAGAATTTTTTTATTGTTAATTTGGTGAGAACTGGTAAAAATTCTCTGCCTTTGGTGTTTATATTATTATTTCTATTTGGTTGTGACTTTCAGTGGCATAATTGAACATTTATAATATGATGGAAAAGTTGACAGTTTTTGCATCCAGCTGGAGTTTTATTTTGGTTACACTTTGGTTGTGTGCTAGAGTTGAGAGATCATCTTGCAATGTGATTTGACTTGGAGTGATTTAGTAGAAAGGGTCCTGAAACAGGTTTTTGGAATATGATTCATCATATTCCATTCTCAACAACTCCTTGAAACTGTAGCCTTCAATCTGAGTTTCATTTTTTGATTTCTCACCAGCAGTCCTCCTGTCTCCTCCTTTTAAAGTTGTTTCTTGGGACATTCTTTTAAAATGTGAGTTGCTCCTTTGTAATAATTTGGAGACTTAAATGGAATCTGAAGATAGGAAATTTCTGTTAGGTGTCGTTACTACAGTGGCAGTCAATAAGTAGTCAACATATTATACTAGGGCACAATTTTCATGATGGGTTTTTTAAGTGACTTTTTTTTTTGGCACTTCATTTTTATGAAGACTGCTTTGACTCATAGCACTTGAATGGAGCCATATTCATAATGCTTTATAGTTCATACTGTGTAACTTAGATTTAGTTGATGTTAGCAGAGTGGCTTTATCTTTCAAGGGCAAAATTATTAATTAAGCTTATGAGAGATGGATGTAAGAATAAAATAGAATATACGTTTTAATATTACATGAGTAAGTTTCAAGGCCATTCAGAATGGTTTATTCTCTTTTCTGCAGGTTCGTTTAGATGTAGGAATTAAGATTCCCACAAGATTATGTGGTGAAAATAAAAATAGAACAAAGGGATTTATTTAGTGTTAAATCATGGGTTGTTTTATTGTTTGCTTTGTGTGTGTGTGTTTTAGCCTTTCAGCTTGAGTCATCTATCCACTATAGATTAACACCAGTCTGTTTAGCTGAGCTGTCTTTTTAAGAGAATACTTGGAATGGAAACTTTACTTCTTATTCTTTCTACTAGTCAGAAATAGGAAAAATAGTCATTAGCATTTACCATTTGGGTTTAACAGGTCATATTTATTGATTTTCATATATTTTTTAAAAGATTTACCTATGCATATAGAATTGCAGTAGAGGCCAGAGGCACAGGGGTGGTGAGAGGATATACCAGAGGCAGAGTGGGGAGCAGAGTAGTCAACTGACAAAGTACACTGCTGAAGCGGGGGCATCAGTGGGTGGGTCAGGAGAGGTCTGAATCACCTCCAGAGCAGGAATGGAACTCATGCTGAAGTGGCTTTAGCTTCTTAGTGCTGTGCTTTAACCCGCTGTGCCCCCAAGGAGGGCCCGTTTTTCATGTTTTTAAGACATCTTACATAATTTTATGGAAGGCTGGAATATGACAATGGCCAACGTTACTTGATAATTGCAGTAAACATTTAAATATAGCAAATCAGTATTTTCCTTGTTTGATAATAGATACATCTTTAAGTTCTTTGTACTGCTCATTAGTTATACATATAATGGAACATACCAGGCCTATAAATTTATTTCTAATGAGTTCTAACTTACCATTATTATTGGTTCATCTTCCCACTTCATTCCTAAAACAGTATTTTAAGAATACTTTGGAACAGTTGATTTCTAATTCTAGTCACACTTGTATACATAGCTGCCATTGGCATCTTCTCACTTATGAATTGTATCAAGTAAATTTTGTAACTCAAAAATAAAATAGAAAGAATGCTGTTATTTCACAGAAAGAAAAACAGGGTGATCCAGATTCTTGTCACAAATTTTTGTACGATCAGATCCTGTTTGGTGATGAACTGGGAAGAATACTTTTTCCTTTTCTCTTTGAGGTAATAATTTACCTGAGAAAATTCATTTGGGATGCTGTCATCTTAGATGACAGTCTTCATTGTCTGAGATCCTCTTTTATTCACAGTCATCACTAGCATCTGGAATGCTATTTGTTTTTGTTTTTTTAATAAAGATTTTATTTATACATACATACAGAAATGGGGTACAGGCCAGAGGTGCAGGGGTAGCGAGAGGATTCACCAGAGACAGTGGGGAGCAGAACAGGCAGATGGACAAAGTACACTGCTGAGGGGAGCAGCCAGTGAGACAGGAGAGGTCTGCTGCACCATGTGGATCACCTCTGGGGCGGGAATTGAACTGGCACTGAAGTGGCCACACAGGTGGGTTTAACTTCTCAGTGCAGTACTCCACCTCACTGTGCCACCAGGGAGAGCCCTAGAATACTATTTGTACAGTGTTTGTATCTTTGTAGTAGTCTTCTAATTTCACTAATTACCAGAGTTCTAAGTTTACTTCTCTTTGCAATTAGGGATGGAAAATAAAAGTTCTGATTTCTAAACTGTTGAGTAATAATCAAAGACAAATGAATGTAGGGTGGTGCATTAGTAACGTTTTATTAGTAACGTTTTATTTCACTGTTTTATTCTTCCAAGAGGGGATATGACCATTCTGTTTTCTTGAGACTTTAACAAAAAATGCACAATAGGGGGGATAACTGATGAGTGAAAATGAGATGGCAAAGTATTTCAAGAAGAGGGAAAAGATCACTAGATTCTACCTTAGAAATATAAAAGTATCTCTGATAACGATCACAACTGCAAGATGGATGATTTTCATTTTGCTCTAATAAAAGTAAATTTTCTTGTATTTTGGAAGACTTATAAGAAAGGACAAGCTTTGAAATAGATGTTAAAAAATTGACTTCAAGCTAACTGTTGGTATATGGTCTTATATTTTCTCATAGTTTTTTTTTTTTAAAGATTATTTATGCTTATAGAACTGGGGTACAAGCTAGAGGTGTGGAGGGTGAGAGCATTCACCAGAGACAGTGGGGAGTAGAACAAGCAGGTGTACTGAAATACACTGCTGAGGGGAGCAGCGGGTGGGTCAGGAGAGGTCTGCACGTCATGTGGCCATGTGGGTCAGCTCCCTGGCCGGGGGTTGAACTCATGCATGCTGCAGTGGCTTCTGAGAGCTTCGTAGTGTAGAGCTTTAACCCATTGCATCACCAGGGAGGGATCCCTGGTGTGCAATAAAGTTGATCATGAGCCATTTGGCTTGGTCATTTACAGTTTGAATATTAGAAAATTTCCAAAACTGCTTACAGTAGAATGTCTTGATAGGAGCCCCAGGCTTTCCAGAATTAATTGCCTGTTGGTAGTTGTTCACATTTATCTCATAGGCTATGAACTTGTACAGATAGTTTTTTTTTTTTTTTTTTTGACTATCTTTGCAGGGTCAACCTCAGTTTCTGTGCTCAACATTTTTGAGGAGATACTTTTCATCTCCTTACAGTCCTGTTGCCCTCAGTTTTCCATGCATTACAAATATATCAAATAAGCTGCATAAGAAATAGCTCTAATCTTGAATGAAAATTTTAATCTATTAAAATTGATGATTACAGATAAAGAATATGCTAATTTTTTAATTAAAAGATGGATTTTTGTAAGACAATTCTGCCCTGCTGTGGACTAAATGTTTTTAATTCAGTTAGGCTTCTTAGCAAGGGATCTGAATGTACAGTTGAAGGATGGTAAAAATTCGGTTTATCATAATAAGTTCTTATCCGTGTGATAACTGAAGTCATCACAACAAACTACTTGAAGATGAACAGTGTTTAGAGGCCAGTGTTTTATATTACATAAAACTGCCTTGTAGGAAGCATTTCTTCAAAATAATACTTAAGCTTAGTAAACCCATATGAATTTGGAATTTTACATATTTGGAGCAAAGTCGCTTAAATTTTAAGTGTATGAAACATAGGTATGTTTAGTATACCTATTTCAGTACAGTAGAATTCTTGATTGAGGTCACTGAAATTTGACATAATAAGTCATATACAATGTTGAAATCTTTTGGAATGAATAGATATGGACATTTTCCCCCTTTCTCAGGTATATTCAAGAGCAAATGACCAAGAACCATGTGGATGGTGGCTGGCTAAAGTTCGAATGATGAAAGGAGAAGTAAGTGATACACCTGCTTTGTGATTTATTTCTTAGTTTACTCTGTGATTTATTTCTAAAGAACTATCCCATTGTTGGTTTTGTGTCTAAAAACACTTCAGAAATAGTGAATGAATCTTACTTTTAATTTGTATTTATAGCTTGAATTTGCAAATATCACAGCTGCTTTTGAGAGGTACTTCATAAATATCTGATGACTGTGAAGGTTCAGCCTTGTAAAAACCTATTATCTAGTTTAAGAAAATTAGATTGTTTGCCTAAGCTTTGCTTAGTACTTGTGCCACAAGGGGAAAGGCCTGGTTAAGCTGAGCAAAGTAATTAGCATTTCATTTAATACTCATCGTTTTGTTCAGATGGGATTTTTAAAGTTTTTTGCTATCTTTTAGTTTTATGTCATTGAATATGCTGCTTGTGATGCCACTTACAATGAAATAGTCACATTTGAACGACTTCGACCTGTCAATCAAAATAAAACTGTCAAAAAAAATACCTTCTTTAAATGCACGGTGGATGTTCCTGAAGATTTGAGAGAGGCGTGAGTAATTTTGTTTACTATTGTGCATTAAGAGAATTTTCAGTGGTACAAAAATCTTTATTCCAAACACCCAGTCAAAACTTGAGATAGTCTTTCTAATAACCAAAGTTTTAACGAGTGGTATAAAGAATGTAATACTGAGCTAGCGTTTCAGCTGCCCTATAAATTTAATCTGTTGTTGAGATGTTTTATACGTGAATTAATTTCTCTCTAGGTGTGCTAATGAGAATGCACATAAAGATTTTAAGAAAGCAGTAGGAGCATGCAGAATATTTTACCATCCAGAAACCACACAGCTAATGATACTGGTAAGATAACTTTGTATTTTAAAAGGTAGTTGATGGATATTCCACAGATTTTTATACAATTATTTCTAAAGATAATAGCTAATTTGGTGCAAAAAGGATTTATACATTGTAGGAGAAAATTTTTTGTATTAAAGATGTTAGTCTTCTGTTAACTCTTTTGGAATAAGGATGCAAAATGAAATTTTTAGAAGTAAAATGAGAGCCCTCCCTGGTAGCACAGCAGGTTAGGCCGGAGCACTGCAAGCTATTCACAGCTGTTTAAATGCGAGTTCTATCCCTGGTTCCAGAGGTGACCCACATGGCACAGCAGACCTCTCCTGTCTCACCCACTGCCCCTTGGCAGCGTACTTCGTTGATATGCCTGTTCTGCTCCCCACTCTACCTCTGGTGACTCCTCTCACCGCCCCTGTACCTCTGGCCTATACCCTAGTTCTGTATGTATAAATAAATAAATTTTTTAAAAAATAAAATGAAATTGTTAATATGACAGTCTTACCACAAATTTTAATGTATGGAATCCTGAATTTTCCTCCCACTAATCATAGTTTGAGTAGCAGATCTAATATGGGAAATCAGAGAAGAAAAAAAGAGAAGATCAGAGTCTAGGAATTCTGTATGTGGAGTGGGGGGTCATGTTTGTATAATCTAGACAGACTAAGTTTTGGGGTGATTAACGTGTTTATTTCTAGTCTGCCAGTGAAGCAACTGTGAAAAGAGTAAATATTTTAAGTGACATGCATTTGCGAAGTATTCGTACGAAGTTGATGCTGATGTCCAGAAATGAAGAGGCCACTAAGCATTTAGAAGTAAGTATATTTGCTCCTAAATTTACTTCTTTTGTGTGTCCCATTAAGTTTCATTATTAAAGTTCTTTGAGTCAAACAACTGAATACAGCTTTGGAAATGAGTGAGCCATTCCATCTCTACGTCATGGAGGTGATGGTGACAAAACTATTAGTATTTATCAAGGCTCATGTAAGTGTACAACCAAAACAAGGGTAATTTGGGGCCCTCCCTCGTGGTACAACAGGTTCAAGCACAGTATTACAAAGCTAGTTGCAGTCCCTTCAGAGCGAGTTTGATCTCCAGCCAGGGAGGTGACCCACACGACTCAGCAGACCTCTCCTGTCTTCGCCTGCCGCTCCCAACTCTCTCTGGTGAATCCTTTCACTGCCCCCACACCTCTGGCATGTACCTCAGTTCTGTATACATAAATAAACCTTTAAAAAAAAAAAAACAAAACAAGGCCCTCCCTGGTGGCGCAGCGGGTTAAAGCACAGCACTAAGAAGCTTAAGCCACTTCCGCATGAGTTCCATCCCCGCCTGCCCTAGAGATGACCACATGGTGCGGCAGACCTCTCCTGACCCACCCGCTGCTCCCCTCAGCAGTGTACTTCGTCGATCTGCCTGTTCTGCTCCCGTTCTGTCTCTGGTAATTCCTCTCACCCTCCGCATCTCTGGCCTGTACCCCAGTTCTGTATGAATAAATAAATAAATCTTTAAAAAAAAAAACAAAAAACATAAAATTAACCATCTTAACCGTTTTTTAGGTGTGTAGTTTAGTAGTATTAGCTCTGTTTATATGGTTGATTGATCAGTTTCCTGGACTTTATCTCACTAAGCTAAAAGTCTCCTGGGCTTTATCTCACTGTACCTACTAATTCCTTGTTGTTCCTTTCCTCTTCTGGCAGTGCCACTCTTACGTTTTTGTAAAATTACTGCTTGAGAATTCACTATGATACTTTTAGGTATCTCAGATAGTACTGTAGGTATGTCATATAAATGAAATTATACAATATTAGTCCTTGTCATTAGTTAATTTAAGCGTCATGTTTTTAGCGTTTATCCTCATTTTAATATGTGCCAGCATTTCTTGTTTTAAGACTGAGTAACATTGCATCACATTTTCTTTATCCTTTTCTCATTTAGAAGATTTGGGTTGCTTCTATCATTGTAAATAACACTGGGGAAAAGTTTTTTTGATCTTTAATAATAAATTTTAATTTACCTCTTTTACTAGTGTACAAAACAACTTGCAGCAGCTTTTCATGAGGAATTTGTTGTTAGAGAAGATCTGATGGGCCTGGCAATAGGGACACATGGTAGTAACATACAGCAAGCTAGAAAGGTTCCTGGCGTTACAGCTATTGAGTTAGATGAAGACACTGGAACATTTAGAATCTATGGAGAGGTAAGCTGTGTTTTGTCCCCACTTCAAGTACTACTGTAACATTTGTTACCCTAGCTGGGTTTCTTTTATTACCTTTTGTTCTTTGTTTTTAACTGTACAAAGTACACCTAACATAAATTTTTCTTAACTATTGTTTATGTTTTATATGGAATTGCACTTTCCTAGAAAAAAAACACTAATACTAAATAAATGAAGATGATACTGTGTTAATCTCACAGAGGAGTGAAAGGTTAATTTTTTGGCTGCTTTGTATCAGGCATTCAGTAGCAACTAACGAAAGAACTTTTACAGAAGTTGAATTTGTACAGTATTTTGTCACTGGTTAATTTGGTAGTTTGAGAACAAATTAATCAGTTTGAAAAAGAAATCAGGCTTTTACTGAGACCATCCTTCACTGTACATGAATTGGATTGGGCTTTTTGTGGTGTTTTAAGTCTTGGCTTATTAGAAGCATGAGTGACAATAGTAACTTTGACCATAGAGTTCTGAATTTAACTTCTGAAGCCTTCATAAGTGGGGAATTGAATGAAGTAACTAACAAGAAAAAGGTTTTGGTGCCATTCTTCCTGAATAGGAATTTTACTTCTACTATTTCAAATGGGCTTGGAAAAATTTACTTTGCTCATTGTAAAGTGAGAATAACAGTAGTACTGAACTCACAATTTATGAGGGTGAAATGTTTGAAGATTTTTATTGTATATTTTACAATGAACCGGTTGTAATCTATGGGTGTTAAAGAGTAAACATTAAAAATGGAAAGGTTGGGCCCTCCCTGGTGGCACAGCGGGTTAGGACACAGCACTACAAGCTAGCCATAGCTGCTTCAGTGTGAGTTTGATCCCCGCCCTGGAGGTGATCCACATAGCACGGCAGACCTCTTCTGACTTGGCCGCTGCTCCCCTCATTAGTGTACTTCATTGATCTGCCTGTTCTGCTCCCCACTCTGTGTCTGGTGAATCCTGTCATGGTCCTTAAACCTTTGCATGAACCCCAGTTCTGTATACATAAATAAATTTTTTAAAAACGGGAAAGTTAATGAATTGTAAGTTAACTATATATGTAAGTTTTCTTTTAAGTTCACTTTGAACAAGGCCCCCATTTTCTAATTCTTAAAAATTGTTTCCTCTTAGAAGTTATAAATTTGAATAATTTGTAGTTCCTTTATAAGTGTATTTCTGCAAAGCCAGTTTTCAAGTCATTTCTGATTTTGATAATGAAAACAATGTAGACAATTTAAACAAATTGAGAAACTTGTCTTTAACACATTCACCCAGAGAAACAAAAAACTTGGAATTTATACACCAATGTTTAGGATTTGTTTAAAATTTGGCTAATGTGATTTAAATTCTGTTGCTAATTTTGTTAAGATATCTAATATTTTGATTTTAATGTTACTTTTCCTCTAGCCTTTTAATGAGTACTCTTAATTTTTTTAGTACTTCATAAATTACTTGTCCTAAAACATCACATTAATAGGATAGCAGAATGTACTGAAGCATAAAAATTTATATTCTTCTCATTTTCTTGTTTTTTTGTTTTGGGTTGTGGATTGATTCAACATTGTATTTCATGTTTGTTTTCTGTTTCCCGTCTACAGAGCGCTGATGCTGTCAAAAAGGCTAGAGGTTTCTTGGAATTTGTGGAAGATTTTATTCAAGTTCCTAGAAATCTGGTTGGTAGGTACTTCTATACTAAATGTTAAATACTGTTATATATAGTGACTTACTGAAAATTTGTGTTATCTGATGTTTTTGTTTACTTAGAATTACGTAGATTTTTTTGGATAACACTAGTCTTCATTTTTTAAATAAAAACATTTTGGTTATCTCATTATTGTCATGTTCAAAAGTAAAGATGTTTTCTTCTGTACAGGGTGACCCACTAATAAGACCCAGTTTGTCATTACAGTTTTTCTTAATCTTTTTCCTTCCTTGGGTTCTTTCATATTCTCATGTTTCATTTTTTAAATTTTATTCATATATCCATCAAAATTGTCATAGTACTTTTTGAGAAGGTGTTTGTGATAATTTTTTTCTTTTGTTTAGTGCAGAAGAAAAAGTAACAGTGGATTAACAATAGGGTAATAAACTTCTACACAGTAGGCCCTGAATAAATAATAATTGGTTGTTGCAAAGGCATAGAATAAGGTAAGAAGTCATGGGCAGGAAAGAAAGCTGGTGATAATGATATGAGGGGAGGTTTCACTATAAAGTCTTTGACACCATTAACAAAAAAACTATTTTGTATCCATGAATTTATCCATTGAGTGACATATAAGTTTGAGTTCAAGGCTTTCATTAAATGAACATACAGTTTGGGATAAACTTTTAATAGCTTGGCTTTAATGTCCTTACGTTGTAAATGCAGTTTGGGAAAATGGCAAATTTTGATCATATGTTAAAAAATCTGTTTATCCACAAAGTTTAATATAAAAATAAGTGTCAAATTAAGTATTGACCTTTACTAGGAGGGGAATGGGTTTTTGTCACCTTTACTATCTTTTTTTTTTTTTTTTTTTTTACTTTCTTGAAAGATTTTTAAGTCTTCAGTATATATTCCATTCACATTAATACATAGACCACTCATATGTATGTAACTGATTCTCTTATGTAATCGGGCCTGGTCTGCCTTTAGTAAATTATTTCTTTGCTCTCTATAGATGTTTTATATATATATAATTATGTGAAGCAGGGAAAATAAAATAGATCCATTGTGAATGGATTTTTTTTTTGACCAATAACAAATAATGTACTCTAACAATGCAAGTGTATATATATTTTCTTGTTATTCAGAACTCTCTATTTCTACCCATACATTTGGATAGGTATGACATACTGCCAATAAAGTAATCTCTATCTATTTATCACTATAAACTGAATTGTTGGGGAGATAAATCAAGGTGTGAATATAAGCTTGAAGATTTTTATTTTTCTAAAAATTGGTAACAATGTTATTAATGGTTTATAATTGTCAACTGAAATCACTTTTGAAGAAAGCTGCTTTTTGTTTATTTAAATAATAATGTAGTTACTGACACCTATCGCTGCTAACATTGTGGTTGCTGCTTTACAGAACTTAATTTAACTTATATTTCTTAACTTTCAATTGATTTGGAGGTGGTGTGTACAAGGGAATCTGTTTTTTTCCCAACAATTCAAAGAAGTTTGCCTTTGTCTTCCAGAGTTTGTGGCAGTGTTTATTTTGAGTAAAATTTTCTGAGATTTCAGAAATAAGGAAATAGGATATATTGGTAGTTCTTGGATTCTTTGTTTCTTAATTTGTGCAGTGATGATGTGAGTACCTGTTTTGTCTTTTTTTTTTTTAATTCTTCTAATCTGTCTTCACTGACTTTGGTGATTTGGGTTGTTTGTATACTCTTTTGGCAATATACATTACAGTAATCATTATATATTGGTGAAATACTCAGAAGTAGTGTGAAGAGCTCACTTGGTTATTGTTTATGATAATACTACATTTCCCTCAAGTGTTTTATGGGTGAAGCAGTCTTTTGCAAAATAGTACATTCTTAGTCCAAGTGAAAGAGAAAAAGAGGACTGAGAAGTAAAAGGGAATGATGACCACTGGTGGGTAAGTTCAGAGAGAATTTCCTTATGTATTTAGTTCCAAGAATTCTAGAATTAACCATTCTTACCTCTTCTAAATCAAGACAATGACTTAACATTAATTGAAATCTTACACCTCTTGGAAGCCTTTCTTAATACTTCTCTACAATGTCCCTTCAACATTTATGCTCAATTTATACTACAGGCTTGCTTCAGTTTGTCAATACACATTGGAATTTAAGCTCAAAAAACAATTATTTGAAGTATTGATGATCTCAGGTGGTACTAAAAACTTGCAGGTAGGTGCCTGGCAAGACACTAGCCAGGTGACAGAGGCTCACTCACTGATTGTAAATAATTCACAAGAAGGACAGGACAAAGATTCTGGGAGATTATTCTTCAATCTGAGTTTTTTTCTGAAAAGATGTTTGCTGCTTTTTAATAGGGTTAAAGATGGCATTGCTACTTGAGCTTCACTGTGTTAACAATGAAGGCTGCTTTTATGTGCTGCTGCTAGGGTTCATCAGAACACATACACCATGTGAATTCCCTACCATAATCCATGTTTTTTTTTTTTTTTTTTAAATAAAGCTTGTTCAGTTGCTGCTGCTTTTAAATTAAGTGTTTTTAATAAGAGTGGAAATTTTAGTGTAGGGACAAAATTCTGAAAATTTAGTTTACTGTATTGACAGGCTTACTGTTGTAATTGTTCCCTTATTTATTCTGTGTGGTAACATTTCTCAAGCATGCAGTATGAAAACAACCTTTTAACTCCTTTCAACAAAATTTATTGTGGAACTAGGTTGTTGAGGATGTAAGCAAATACAGTATTGCTGTCAGCTTTGTAAAAGGATATATCTATTCCTTATAGTTAACTTTACTGGAATATTTACATCTGTACTATGTAACACTACCCAGTATTGCTTTGTTATGTTACAAGCATTTTTTTTATGAGCATCTATAACTAGTAAGTTCTTAAGGGGAGAAATTGTCATGCCTCCTCTATAAATAATGGATATTCAATAATTACTGTTTGATAGACTTACAAGTTAAGTGTGAAGAAGATAAATAATTTTAACTGTCATTTTATAGTATTTCATATTTAGCAAGACATCATATTTACATGCTTACTGTAGTTGTATGGCTGTGACTTAAACTTTTTTGTGTAAATGTAAAATACTTGTTAAATGTAAACTTTTTATTTCAATGAAGAGACTTCATTTTCAGTATATCTTCCAAGTCACAGATATCTGCGTAACAAATAGAAATTTTAAAATAACAGCAATATTGATTAATTTGTTTATTGTTTGACTAGTAATACATAATAAACCAATTAATGTGAGTTATACCAAAACAGTTTTTCTCTTCTTACTTACCCCAAGGTTTTGAAATGGGTTGGATTTGATTTTTTAAAAATAACAAAATTACATAAGTCGTATTACAACAAGTTTTAAACTTTGAAACGATTTTCTCTTTGAGCACTATTGTCAGGTACATTGGAGCAAAGGAATTTTCATACCAAGGATGAGATTGCTTAGTAGTCTTTCAGAGATACATACATGAGAGCAAAAAGGTGTCACTTGACCTGTTTTTTTATAATTTGATACAAGCCATAAATCCTTTGGGCGGGCATTGAAAGGATGATAGGATTGGATTTTAATTTAGTATGTTTTCTCTTTATTAAAGGAAAAGTAATTGGAAAAAATGGCAAAGTTATTCAAGAAATAGTGGATAAATCTGGTGTAGTTCGGGTGAGAATTGAAGGTGATAATGAAAATAAACTACCTAGAGAAGATGTAAGTATTTAAAATGCAACTTGCCTATTTTGTATCATGTTGTGTTCTTTGCTGAGTTGTTAGCTTTTATTTTGGAAATAATTTTGGAGACACATATGGTGAGCCATTTAATATTGATGTATTTTTAAAATTCTTACACTACTTTTATATTTAAAAAACATCTTCCAGTTTTAGGCCTTAGGTTCATGGTTAGTTTCTCAGTATTTCATTAAAAAGACCAATTTAGATACAAAGGCTTCAGGTTGATAATCTCAAGTTTTTAGTTTTTAAGTGTGTAAACGCTTTAGAACTTGAAACTCAACAAATTAGTCTGTTTTAAAGGAATTCATGATGATAACATCCATGCTTTTTTCCCCCCAGCATCTAAAAGCTTCGCTTCATGCTTTTCTTAATTGGACTCTAAAGCCTTTATGTTGCTAGTAGTTCATTTTTCTGGAATTTCATTTTTGGTATCTCTCTTTTTTAAATCAAATGCTGATAATTTTACCCACAGTGCTGCTCTTTATTCCTCCCACATCACTTTAAGGATATTTCAGCTTTGTGACTTAAGCAGTCAACTCTTATGTATTCACCTTTATATGCTAACTATAAAACAGAGATTGTCTTAATAACAAAGGCTTTAATTTTTGCATAGCATATTTCTGTTTGGGTAGCTTATTGGATACACTCAATATAAAAATTTAGAAAACCAGAAACATTTAATACTGAGAAATAGTCTCAGTATTTGATGTTGTAAAGACACCTTATTAAAACTGCTTATTTTTCTTAGAATGTGAAGATAAATACACCCTTAAAAAATGAATAAGGAAAGCAAATGTCTTAGTATTATACAGATTCATACTTGAGTGTTCTCAGTGATTTTATTCTACACTGTTTTCAAAAAAGTACTGTAAATCTCAGGTAACTTTTACTTATTAAGCAAATACTTTCCCCATTTTAACAGGTTTATTAAGGAAAGGGATAGAAGAGTAAAGGACGTTTGCATAGGCACAGTCAGGGCAGGAAGAGCTGCCCCAAAGGGGGCAGGTTTGCTGAGAGGCCTGTATAGTTGCAGGTGGGTAGCCTTGATGAGAGCGCCATCCACTGAGGGAGGTCAGTGAATAGAACTCTCTGCAAGTACAGGTTACAGGCAGGCAAGAGGCTGCTACCCTGGTGAGGAAGAGGGCTAGTGGAAAGCACCTGCATAGTCACAGGTGGGCAGAGGACTGCTACCATTTTTTAAAAGGTTAATATATTTATGCATACAGAACAGGGGTGCAGGCCAGAGCTGCAAGGGCAGTCAGAGGATTCACCAGACACAGAGTGGGGGACAGAACAGGCAGATTGACTGCAATACACTGCTGAGGGGAGCAGCAGGTAAAACAGGAAATTTCTGCTGTACCATGTGGGTTACCTCCCTGGCCGGTGATCGAACTCTTGCTGAGGCAGCTGCAGCTAGCTTCATAGTGCTATTATGTTTTAACCCGTTTTTTAAAAAGAAGACCCCATTTTTAAAAACGATTTATTTATGCATACAAGAACTGGGATACAGACCAGAGTTACGGGGCGGTGTAAGAGGATTCACCAGAGACAGTGGGGAGCAGAACAGGCAGATAAACTGAAATAAACTGCTGAGGGGAGTAGCGGGTGGGGCAGGGGAGGTTTGCCAAGTCATATGGGTCACCTCTCTGGCCAGTATCAAACTCATCCTGCAGTGGCTTTGATACTTCACAGAGCTCTGCTTTAACCTATTGTGCCACCAGGGAGGGTCCCCCATTTTTTAACTTTTAATAGGCCTTTGAGATGGATTAAAAAACCTGTGGTGTTACAGTATAGTTGGCACTTTCTCTCCAATATCTAAAATAATGGTACCTCATTGGCATAGAACCACCACCTGAAAATTGGTTTGAAGATCAAGGAGTTTATTGCATTGATCAGGAAAGTTTATTAGGATGATACAAATACTTAGTTTTACCTTAGCTTGATTTTTCCTGTTTGTTTTTTAGTAGTATATACCATCTTTTGCAAACTAAATGCAACTTACTGTACTTCCTTGTGTTTGGAATTGTCATTACTCCCATTTCTTCTTCTTTTTTTTGTTTTATTCATTTATGCATAAAAGTGGGGTAAGAGGATTTACCAGAGACAGTGGGGAGTAGAACAGGTGGATTGACTGAAATACAGTGCTGAGCTGCCAATAGCTTCATAAGTGTTTTTGCTTTAACAAACCCTTGCGTCACCAGGAAGGGCCCTGTGCTGCCACATCTGTGCCAGGTCAAGAAAGGTAAATGCTTACAGAACCCAGTCAGATTATGTAAGTGAGTAGATATGTTTAGGTAAAAGGGATGGATAAGGGGATACCTTGTCTTTCTGTAAAAGAGACAGATACTCAGATTTAATCTGATTGCCGTTTGGGAACACATGTATTTATTGCTGTATGTTTGACATTCTTTTGTTTTTTTTAAATTATTTTAAATAGCTTTTCTGATTAAGTCATCTTTCTTTTTTTAAAGATTATTTATGCATACAGAACTGGGACACAGGTCAGAGGTGCAGGGGCAGTGAGAGGATCCACCAGAGACAGAGTGGGGAGCAAAGCAGGTAGATTGACAGAATATACTGTGAGGGGAGCAGTGAGTGGGACAGAAGAGGGTCTGTCATGCCATGTAGGTCACCCTCGACTGGGGATCAAATTCTTGCTAAAACTTAGGCTGTGGGGCTCTCCTTGGTGGCACAGCACTGAGAAGCTAAAGCCACTTCCACATGAGTTCGATCCCCGCCCACCCCAGAGGCGACCACATGGTGGGGCAGACCTCTCCTGACCCGCCCGCTGCTCCCCTCAGCAGTGTACTTCGTTGATCTGCCTGTTCTGCTCCCCACTCTGTCTCTGGTGAAGCCTCTCGCCACCCCTGAGCCTCTGGCCTGTACCCCAGTTCTGTATGTACAAATAAATATTTAAAAAAAAAAAAACTTAGGCTGTGGCTAGCTTCTCAGTGCTATACTTTAACTCATTGAACCACAAGTGAGGGCCCTGTTTGACATTCTTAAGAAAAGCTCAAACTTAATACTTAAATTTTCAATTTTAAAATACTGAACGTTGAAACATTTCTGAATGTTGCTATTGATTTGTCTTGTGTCAGTGTTTCACAATTTAAGCTGTCTAAATCTTCTGGGGACTCAGTTTACTTTGTTTATTGAAAGACCACTAGCTTGAGGTATCTTTACCACTTGTATACTGTAACAATTGACATCTGTATAATTAGATGTTTAGTGATTTTCTTTAGCCTTTCATCTGCTTGTTTATTTTAATTGTCTCAAGCCAAGAAGTGGACTTCTTGAAGTCGAGAAACTAAATCTGAAATCTCATGTTCTTCATGCTTCCTAGGCACTATGAATTATATAGAGTAGGCGCTTAGATAAATACTTAATCATTTAAAACTTACAGACATTAGATTTGAGGGTTTTGTTAAATGTATATGTAAAATGTATAATAGCATGGAAAGATCTAGTGTGAAAAATAAGTATCTTTATCTTGTCTACATCTTCCTCTACCCATCATGCCTGATACATTGTAAGCTGTTGTTAGGTTGCCTTTTTGGGTCTTTTTTGTCAGTAAAAACAGTGCTGCAGCAAATATCCCTTGTGATTGGAAGGTGGATTCCTGAAAATAGGTTTATTTCATCACAGGGAATATAGTATTGAAATTTTAGGCTCTTTGTTAAATTTTTCTACACATTCCCATTGTGAATGTAGGAATGTGTGTTCCACATTTTTTTCCAGTGCTGATTTTAAAGTGTTTTTAAATGCCATTCCTGAATTGTATTTTATTTTTCCATCTTAAAAGATTTTAATTTCTTGGTGACTCCTTGTCTCTTTTACATAATTCTTGTCTTTTATTACTGAGCTGAAAATACACATAAGGAAAACGTTAAAGATTATTTTGCCATCCATGGTTTTATAGGTCCTCATTAGTTAGGAATCTGTCATAAGTGATCTGGAATGCTTAGAAGTTAAGTATTTAGTGCTTTATTTTTTAGAAATAACCATATGAACTTTGTATTTCATATTTTCACATGTGGACAATATTTCTTGTTTCTTCTGACTTGACTTTTTCCTGTGCAGATAGTTGAAATATTTTTTTTTTAATTTTCGGTTTTTTGGGACTTCATGACTTTGCAGTTTTTATGGTATTTTTGTGTAGTGCCTTTCCTGTTTGTGAATCATTCAGAAATCCACTTAATGTTTTGTTCTCCAGTTTGGATTTTCTTTCAACCTATACATTTTTTATTCCAATTGGCTACTAGCTGGTTGTCTTGATAGCCATCTATTAAATATAAAAGCTGTTTTAGTAATTTTTAAAATCTAGAAATTTCACTGAAATAACTTTTAAATGAATTACATACAGTCATTTACTCTTGAAATGTTTTTCTTACTATGGCTTTTTAAAAAGATGTATGTATGCATGCATGCATGCATGCATACAAGAACTGGAATACAGGCCAGAGATGAGGAGGGGTAAAAGGATTCACCAGAGACAGAATGGGAAGCAGAACAGACAGATGGATTGAAATACATTGTGGAAGGGAGCAGTGGGCAAGACAGGAGAGCTCTGCCACACCATGTTGGTCAGCTTTGCTGGCTGGGGATCGAACTCGTGTTGCAGTGGTTGCAGATACCTTCATAGTGCTGCACTTTAAAACCCTGTGCCATCAGGGAGGACCCTTACTATCACTTTTAAATAGCCATTCACATATGTACCTTTTTACCTATCCTTTGCTTTGGAGGCAACTGTTAGTGATAGCTGCAGGTCAGAGTCAAGGCATGTGTTTGTGTTTCTCTTCCTCCTTTCATAGCATCTGTTTGCAATAACTTAATCCTTAACTCCTTGGAAAGTGCTGTTGTTAATATTCACTTTAAGTACAGCACTTTTTTTTTTTGGTTTGTTTTTGTTTTTTTTTAATAATATAATAGCTTATTTTTACATCATTTTGTACTTTTTTTTTTCATCTCAGTTGTAATCCCCCTGGGTTTCCCATCACCGAATACAGCACTGTTTTTTTATTCTGAGTTTCTGCAACCCAGAATGGCATGATTCATACACAACTTGATATTCCTTTGTTTTTTATTCTTATCAGGAATATTTAGTATTTTTTCTGAGATTTTGATTGTCTTTACAGCAGAGACTTTGTTCCTATTCTTTAGCCTAAATTTTGACTAGCCTACATTTTGGTGTGCTATCTGTAATTGAGTAACTGGATGTGAAATTAGCTTCACAGTTGATAATTTTGTGACTTTGGGCAAGTTAATTTCTCCTGGTAAAATGAATTTTTTAAACTGCCTCTTAATAAACATAAGAAAAAGTTAAGGGATGATATAATAGAATGTGGTATGTTTTAAAAGTTTTCTTTGATTCCCCTTTCCTTGGAGTTACTATATTTTATTAATTTGGACATCTTCTGTTTATCTGCATGTGAATAAAAATAGAATGTATACTTCTTCACTTGAGTATGAGCTCCTTATTTCATGCTTCTAGAGTTGTAATTCTTAGTCACACAACTTTCTGTACTCTTATATTTACATTGCTTAATTGTATCCTTAGCACCTATCTGCTTTTTGATCGCTGGAAAGTTTTTTTTTCTTAAAAAAAGAGTTATTTATGCATACAAGAGCTGGAATACACATGTCAGAGGTGTGGGGAGGTGAGAGAGAGAGAGAGAGATTACTTCTTTGACTTACTGTAATACCTATGACTATTTACCCGCAGCAGTAATTCCTTTGTTTATATTATATAAATAACTTGGACAACACTTTTTTCCCCACCTGTTACCTCTAAGTTGATATATTTAGTCTTGTCAATTCATGCCATTTTGAAGGAAATAGAACTTTAAAAAGTTCGTTTATGTACTTAGAAAATTGGATTGTTGGATTATAAATAAGAAAACCTAAGAGAAAAAGTTTTCTTTAAGTAACTAAAATTTTTAGCATACTAAAAGTGATCCCAAATGTTAAATTTATTGAAAAATTTCAGTATTTCCAAGTTAGTTATTTTCACCAATTTGTTTTTAAATTTTAAAGTTTAATAGCTATATAATTGTTCTATGTTTTAGAAATTGATATGCCCAAATTATTGGTATGTCATATTTAAACTAGAACTTTGTTTTAAAATGTTACATACTGAGGGCATTGTGTTTTCTTACAGGGCATGGTTCCATTTGTATTTGTTGGCACTAAAGAGAGCATTGGGAATGTGCAAGTTCTTTTAGAATATCATATTGCTTATCTAAAGGTTTGTATGCTGTTCATATTTTATGTCACAGTTACTCCAGAAATTGAAGTTAGACATTAGTTTTATATTTTTCATCGTAAACTTCTAGTTTAAAAAGCTTCATTAATTCATTTTCAGTTATGTTCAGTTTTTCTACTTGAGAGTTTAAAATTAAATAAAGGCTCTTTCCATAATAAAATTATGAGCCTTATGTGTAATGTTTATTTTTCCTCTGAACTTATATTTCTTACTGTTTATTTCTTAGACTTTTATTTATGTTGTGTACTGGAACTGTTTTGTTTTTACATGCAAGTATTTTGTTTTTTTTTTTACATGCAAGTAAGGCTCAGAGCCAGGAGTAAAGTTGTGCTTTCTTAGTATCTGTGGTATTTGAGCAATAGGCACTATCTCTATAAATACCATTCTTAATAATTTTTTCTGTTTGAGTTGATAAAGAGCAAGTTTTGAGAAAGAAATACCTCATAAATTATTAAAAGTTGGAACTGTCATTTTCTGATGTTGTTATCCTTGTTTAGAATGTAGTAATACCCTAACTTTCCTTAGTACGATGTCCTTTTAGTCACTTACATCCTGCTATGTTATGTTAAGACATTGAAAGCAACTCCTATAATGTCACTCCTTTTAAAAACTCCTTTTTTATATAACCTCAATTCAGCCTTGTAGTCCAAGCTTTATTTTCTAGTATTGCCAGTTAGCCAAGAGTTTTACCTTTATATCCTGTAATCTCAATTTTTGAATGACCAAATGTAGTACTTCATCTGGGTCCCACTTCAGGTGTTATTACTTAAATAGGAACATAGCTTTTTAGTATCTTTCATAGAAGGTACTCATTTGATAGTGTTTTAGCACCTTGAGGGACTAACTCTGGTAATATGTAATTATTAGCTTAAATAACTAGGTTAGTTTAGCAGTCATCTATTATGCATGCCTTCGGAGGTGGAACGTTCTTGCTTTTTTTTTTGGTATTGTTGGTATTGTATGAGTGTGGCACTTAACATGGTTGGCACAACTAAGGCATCAGTAAATGTAACTTGTGAAGTGAGTCAGCGAATCACCTTGTAAATTGTGTTTACTAGGAACATACTGTACTTAACGGAAACTTGTGCTAGACTACATCTTTCTTCAGTAGGAAATAACAGCTCTAATTCCAGACTTTAAGAGTTACATTTATGACTTATCCCTTTTTATTTTAATTATAGGAAGTAGAACAGCTAAGAATGGAACGCCTACAGATTGATGAACAACTCCGACAGATTGGTATGGGTTTCAGACCTTCTTCCACCAGAGGGCCTGAAAAAGAAAAAGGATATGCCACTGATGAAAGTACCGTCTCTTCTGTACAAGGTTCTAGGTCTTATAGTGGAAGAGGCAGAGGTCGTCGGGGCCCTAATTACACCTCCGGTTATGGTAAAAAGCAATTTTTTACCCCAGTATTTCTAGCTTGAATGTTGCAGTACAATCTGCTTGTATATGTAGTTCATCACTTTGCTTTGACTTTAGGAGACAGATCTAAGGTTTATGTCTAAATAGTAGCTGTGTCACACAGTGATAGTAGAAGGTATATAACCCAAGCAACTATATAATGAAGTATTCTTTTGTTAAGTTGAAGTTTTGTACTTATGTTTATATGAGATACTTGTTTCCACATATTTCCTTTGTACATGTGTACATATCCCAATAACCAGTAATATTAATAATAGTAGTGCAGCTAGGTTGCTTCATTATCTTCTAAGAAAAGTTTAAAAAAAAAAAAAGCAGCAGCTAAGCACTCTGAGGTGGATTACATTTACCAGGTCTGTATTTGATTTTAAAATGATACTTTATTGATTCACATGGAGTCTTGTGAAATACATTTCACTGAAAGCTATACACAAACATTTTCTAAAATTGATTTCACTTGGTTAGACTCGGGTCTTCACCCATGTGGGAAGGGCATGTGGATGGTTTTGATCAAGAGTTTGCTAATCCTAAATTCTCACTTAAAACTTCTTCAGCTTTGGAGTTGTTTCATTTTTCTACATCTGGACTTGGATCTTAGCAGTGACCTGATACTTTATTCCTCTCTTACTTTCTTTTTCCTTCTCTTCTCCATTCTGCTGTGTTCATCCTAATTGCTTTGGGAAACTTTCAGAAGCCTTTTGAAAATAGAAACCTTTTGGGGAAAAGCAAAATACATGATTACAATATACAAATTCTACATCCAAATTCTACGATGGAAGAATCATCTAAGGATACCAGTTATATTCAATTTGCTGTAGAGTTGGAATATTAATCCTTTTTCCTTTCATATCCACTTATTGCCATGTTGTCGAATACCTTGTCATATATCTTGTCGCTTACTTAAAAGTTAATCCTGATCCTGAAAAGCAAATTCTCAGGAAAGTAGAAGTGCTCAGCATGTAAAAAGCTGAGAGTTGCAAACTAGGTAACTATTTTCATAGACATATTTAATACAAAAAAATCCAGTAATTAAATAGAAATTATGTATATACTGAATGATCTTCAGGCTAGCTTACTAGTACAACTTAAACAGGTTTGGTTTTTTGGATGATATATTTATTAAAAAATATTTGCAAGCTTTTGTAGGAAGTTTACTTATTACTTGGCTACTATTGTTGAACAACGAGAAGTTTACATGAGACCAGTAGAGACGTATGATCGGATTGAAGAACACTTGTGTAAATTGTTCAGTAGATGGCACTCTTACCTCTGAGTCATTGCAGAATGTTAGCAATGTATTTTCTTGAAATAGCTATTGAACTTAAAAAGTGGGTTTGCGAGAAAAGCCATATGACTTTGGTTATGTTTTTGTGCTCTGAATATCAGAAGGAGTGTTAAGTGCTAATATATGTAAACTGTAAAAAAACACTTTCTCACTTTCTCTGAAATCAATATGTGTCTTACAATGGGTGATGTCTTAAGGCCTCAGTTGGCAACACAAACTAATGTCTTAAAAGTGGGTAGCATGTTGGATATTTTTGTTTTAGCATACTTGATTATTGAAAGTATGTGAACCGTACTTTTGTACTTTAATCAGAGTATTAGTTTTTTTGTTATCATAACAAATTGCAGTTATTGGTTACAAGTTATTACCTTACCGTTTTCTAGATAAGAAGTTTTTTAAGAGTCTCAGCTAAAAATTGGAGTTTCAGCAGAATTACTTTCTGGAGATTCAAAGGGAGAATCTATTCCTTTGATAATTTCCAGCTCCTAGGGACCATCCCTAATTTTCAGCTTATGACCCTCTCCCCTTTCTGGTTTATAAAACTAGAAAACTAGTAATTGAATAGGTGGTGGAGCTGGCCAGGGAGTGCTTATGCTGCAATCTTTCTGGTACTCTACTACTTTCTTTAAAACTTGAGGTCTAAATGAAATATGTAATATTGGTTCTCTAATATTAAAGACCCATGTAGTTTGTTGGGACTTTACATAGATAATCCAAGGCAACTCTCTCCTCTCAACCTCATTTCAGTATTTTCAACCTTAGTCATTTTTTCAGTTTTGCCACCTAAAAATACTTAATATGAATAAAGCAGAACTGTTGCCAACTCATTAACCTCCCCTTTTTAATTTAATATCACATATATAAATTTATAATTTGAGCACTCCCTTTTATTATCTTGAATATTGGATTTAGGTTAAGTTTAGGAAGCTTACAGATTTTCTTCTCACCATACCAGAAATTTCTGGGAAATCTTTAAGACTAGGTATTTATCTTTAAATTTTGGTAATGGTTTCCGGCAGGGTATAGGTTTGTAAATAAATTCTGAAGTTCTTAGGTATACCAAAGGTTTTCTACTCTGTGAAATGTTAAATTGCCCTTAGTTCAGAATGTCACGACTTGTACAATGTGTTTTTTGTCACTTGGAGAAATCGTGTTTGGGAGATTCATTCCCTTGCCTGAGAATCTTTCCTAAGACTCAAACATGAATAGTAGAAACTTCCGTATTATTCCTGAAATATACTTCAGACTAAATATATAAGTACTATGACTGATATCCACATTTAACAGCATGTGAAGGAAAAATAATAGCAATCATTGGAGAATTGTCTTTAAAGGAGAAAGAAAGGTAGTTATGTAGGCTTTACTCATTAATTTCCCCCTCTTCCCCGTATTTTAGTAATTACCTGAAGAGCTTATATATGTTTTTGCATTTGTTATCAAATGGCTGGATTTTAGGGAGTACTTAGTTCATTATGGAATCATTCTTGTTTAGGAGCCTTCATAAGTAAACTTAAAAATCTTGCTGAGAATTCATTTATCAAGGGAAAATTATGTACATTCCTAGGCATCTGTCTGGTGCATTTTGAGAGATGAATTTTTCAAACCATAAGGATATCATAAACCAAATGAAAAGGGGAAACCTAGAAAACAATACATGACAACAGAGCTTGGTACATGCATAATATCAGCAAAAAGATCTGTTTTCAGTTAAATTGGTCTGAAATTGTTCAACATTGAAGTGGACTCTGAAGTATACACTTGTATATATGTTAAGAGGGAAAGATGAAAGGGATATTCTCAAGCTAAGGAGAATAAAAGTGGGGATGGTAGGATAGTCATTGCATGTTAGAAACCCATTGCCTTATGATTTGAATAAAAATGCTATTGTAGGCTTTTATAAAATCTTGGAAGTATTTAAATTATTGAAAGGGCACCATTTAAACATGTAATGTTTAATGTTAGAAATGACATGCAAACTTTTGTCTTGCTGAAAATGGCATCATTCTGTTGTAAGCTTACATTTTTTAATATTAATAAGGCTATTTTTATTTTTTAATTTCATATTCTGTTGTAAGTTTAAGGGTATCTTTTTCTAGCCCTTTTCCCTGTTTCTTAGTATCAGGTGCTATGTTCTTCCAGTTTAAAGCACTTTCAAGCTACAGTTGTTTGCAACACATTTATGTGTACTACCAGTAAAAATTCACGCCCAGTTAATGAGAGATCATCAATTATGAGAAACATTTGATTTCAGAGGTTTATTTAAAATGTAGAAAAATTAAGTGCTCCTCTAGACTGAATGAAATACTGTTAAGAACACGCCAAATAATTGAACTTTTCAGACAGTAAGATTATTTAATGATTTGGAAGAAACAATTTTGAAAAAATTTGATTTCCTGTTTTTTCTTAGATACAGAAATTTTACTGGTTTATGTTATCTTCTTTTCTAAGGAACAAATTCTGAGCTGTCTAACCCCTCTGAAACAGAATCTGAGCGTAAAGACGAGCTGAGTGATTGGTCACTGGCAGGAGAAGATGATCGAGAGAGCCGACACCAGCGTGATAGCAGGCGACGTCCAGGAGGAAGAGGCAGAAGTGTTTCAGGGGGTCGAGGTCGTGGTGGACCACGTGGTGGCAAATCCTCCATCAGTTCTGGTAGTCTTTTATGTGCTATGTCAGCATCCTGTCTTTACTGTAAACAGTGTAACTTTATAAAAGTTAATTTATTTCCTAGGTTCACTCATTTTTACAAGTTTATCCTTGCACTCATTGCCTAAGGAAATCAGTGGAACATATAGCAATGAAAGGGAAAGCTCTGTAAAATGTTTCTCAGGTGAAGGTTAAGCTGGCATATCCAGAATAGAGCAACTTGAGAGAGCTGATTGTTTAACAATAGATAGGCTGTTTGGTCATTTCTTCAATTGGTGAATAATTAGTAATTATTTAGTAATTAGAATGTGATTTCCCTCCTACAATTTTGGGTTGTGTATTTGCCAGACAGGATCTAGAGAATTTTAATTAATGCAGAGAGATCTGAATATTTTTCTATACTTGCAAAAAATTAACTGAAAAGTATTCTTTCCTACACTAGCACTACTTTGTAAATAGAAAAAGAGTACTTAAATTTTAATGTTTGAGGATTTGGTTGTTTAAAGGACTGGAGATAGGAGGTGTCTAAACAACTTTTTTACTCTTCATTTTGGATTTTTAAATGATGTTACTGCGGTTGGAGGAATTGAGACTGTTTTTAGCATAATGGAATGGAGAGGGGGACAACTGTCAGGGAAACATGGACCAGATTTTATTAGCATATAACTTGAATGCAGTTTTACACTTTTTTAAAAAGATTTATTTATTTGTGCATACAGAACTGGGGTAGAGGCCAGAGGCTCAGGGGAGGTGAGAGGCTTCACCATAGACAGAGTGGGGAGCAGAACAGGCAGATTGACGAAGTACACCGCTGAGGGAAGCAGCGGGCAGGCCAGGAGAGGTCTGCCACGCCATGTGGTCACCTCCAGGGCAGGCGGGAATCAAACTCCCATGGAAGTGGCCTCAGCCTCTCAGTGTTGTGCTCAAACCTGCTGCACCACCAGGGAGGGCCCCAGTTTTACACTTTTAAATTTTTTTTTAAAAATATTTATTTATTCATACGGAACTGGAGTACAGGCCAGAGATGTGGAGAGGATTCACCAGAGACACAGAGGGGAGCAGAACAGGCAGATCAATGAAGTACACTGCTGAGGGGAGCAGCGGGCAGGTCAGGAGAGGTCTGCTTCACCATGTGGATCTCCTCCAGGGCAGGCAGGAATCGAACTCATGTGGAAGTGGCTTTAGCTTCTTAGTGTTGTGCTTTAACCCACTGTGCCACCAGGGAGGGCCCCAGTTTTACACTTTTAAGAAAAACTTTAATAATGTTACATGCTCTATGAAAATGTATATAGTCAGTTTAAAATGTTAGGTGACCATAGGCTTAAATATATACCAAACATGTTGACAAATCAAAGTCTACATGGAACAGACCACAAAATTTAAGGGGACATTTTAAAAAGTATTCTCTAGTTCCAGTGATAGTTCGAGTCCTTAGTTTAGTTCACAGTTTTAGGGAAATGGTTTTTATACTTACTACAAATTATACGCTATTATTAAGATTGATAAAGTTACAGTATGATGAATTGCAAAATAAATGTGCTTTACCTAGTATTTATCATTAATGGATAAACTTAGTGTCTTTTGCAAAGATGCTAGCTTGCTAGCTGTTGCCAAAGGAAATTAGGAAGAAATACCATGATTAGGTGAATTTCTTCTATATTTTGATTGATGGAGGCAATAAATACACATAGGTAAGGTGGGTATTCTTATTAATTGTATCTTAAAACTCCCCCCCCCCCCACGCTTAACTCACCTTCAATCTTTTCTCTGGAGATGGGAATACTAGTCAACATTCATTTCTTCATTTTCCTATTATCAGTTAAAATTTTGGCATTTATAAGTCTGCTTATTTTTGTGTGTATACTTTTTTTGAGTGCTTCAGTTTATCATAACAGATTTCTATGTCATTGAATGCAGGTGTTGATTGTTATATGAAAATTGTCATTTTAACAGTACAAAGAAGTAGCAGTCACCTTGAACTCAATAAAGGGAATAAAAGCTGTCTTAGAATTAATTCATTACTAGCTGAATATTCCTTTTCATTTTTATTTCTCTAGCTTCTGAACAGGAATAGCTAGGAATGTGAATGTCAAAATTAGCATGCAATAATGTACTATTTCCTGACATACTGAAAACAAGTCGAAGAGAAATGGTAGGCTGAAATGTCTGCTCATCTTCTGCTTTAATTTTTTATCACCATTTATAATTTTCTCATTATTTTAAGGTTAAAATGATATAGAGAGCATTTGAAGACTATTTTTTATTGGGGAAAATTTGAAGTTTCTCTATCGTTAGTTGATATAATTCAGTATCAAAACATTCTTAATAACTGCAGCTCTCTTAAACGAATATTTCTTGCCTCTGACATGCATATAGTGCTCAAAGATCCAGACAGCAATCCATACAGCTTACTTGATAATACAGAATCAGATCAGACTGCAGACACTGATGCCAGCGAATCCCATCACAGTACTAACCGTCGTAGGCGGTCTCGTAGACGAAGGACTGATGAAGATGCTGTTCTGATGGATGGAATGACTGAATCTGATACAGCTTCAGTTAATGAAAATGGGCTAGGTATGTAAGCACTTAGGGAAAAGATATATATTATTGTATGATGCTGTTAATGTATGATGCTTTTTTCATAAAAAGAAAGAAAAATACAAAAAAATTTCCTGAACATGCACTTCACAATTTGAAGTTTTCTTAGTGTTCCCTTCAACAGGGTGTAGATAATTTTGTGTTTATCTTAAATGTCTAGTTCTCAGATTTGTATTAGTGAAAATATTTGAAACTGGGAGATTTTATTAAAAGTGCCCTTTGGTGCCATTAAATCAGTACAAATAATTTAGACTACAAGGTATTCTTATATTGTTCCCAAACTAGACTTTGGCTTTAACCTTGCCTCTTTAAAATTTAATATAAATAACACTTGTCAAGGTATGTATATTGAATAGGCATTTATTTCCAAAGGGCTAAAAGTCATTAACTTATATAAATCTAAACTTTGTTGGAGAGGAAATGTTTATCCCTTGACTGATGGTAATTTAAGTCTTAGAGAGTGTAAGATATAAAGCCTTTTATTTCCAGATAATTTCATTTTTTGGAATGCTTAAATCTATACAAAAATATATTTCCTGTCAGTAATGTATGTTGCTTTATCTTGTTTTATTAAAAGGTACTGTTCCCCTTCCTTAAATCTTTGAAGGAAAGACTTTTTTTTTGTCTGTTTTTGTTTTCATCAGAATAGTTCATGGTAAACTTTGCAATTACAGATGATAGTGAAAAAAAACCCCAGCGACGCAATCGTAGCCGCAGGCGTCGCTTCAGGGGTCAGGCAGAAGATAGACAGCCAGGTAACTTGAGTGGACCTGTTGACAACACCAGGTCACAAGCATGAAAAAAAAATGTCATATGTCTGCTTTCTAAATTTATTATACTTAACATATACACATGTGTGCATATACATTCAAGATGTGCATTGCATAAATTACTCAACTAATAAGACTACTACTCTTAAGAAAATGCATTCTTCCTTCACATCGTAATGCTTAGTAACCTATCTAATTGAACTAATGTTGTGTCTCAATTTTTGACATGAAATACAGTTGAGAAACTTATTTTATCTATGTAGCAGACTTCAAATTTCAGATGAGGCTTGCCATCCAGGGACTAAGTTGTAGATTGTAATTGAGGTTGATTGGCAAAATTGGGCAGCTTCTAGCATGGTGTCTGCTTACTATATCTGAATTTAGCATCTCATTATTGTGGGAATTATAATACCCACAGTTTTAAAAATATATACGAGAAAAAAATATTTGAAAGTGGCTTTTTCTTATTGAGAGGAATGCATGTTATGTTTTTGTTTATTGTAGTGATGCGTTTTCCTTTATTTACACTTACTAACTACTCATATTAATAGTACTTACATAGTTTTAGAATGTTATTTTAAGTAGTAATTTTTAGTAATGTCAAAGAAACTTGTTTGCTGTGTCTATTACTTTGAACATAATTCCATTTCCTGTGTATAGAGAACCACATGTATGTTCACAATGAAGAAATTGTGTGCACCAGAAATAAACCCCTTTTAAACATAAATCAATTTTGTATTCTTTCCAAAGCAAGTTCTTTCATGTGTTTTTCCCAAATAAAATTCCACTATCTTTAGTAAGTTTAGTGGTTGTAGAGCTGCTAGGGAAAATAAGGGACATAAGTTCCACTATTGAAAACAGTTTGTTTTAAAGATAGTTTGCAAATTTAAAAGAATTATATATTGACAAAAATTGAAGTGTTTCCAGAAAATGTTTCTTAATGATCTTTTTCCTCTTGCATAAGAAATATATTTTAGATCACGATACTATTCTTTGAAGCCACAACAAGCAGTGAATACATTTTCTGGCCATACTTTTATAAATATGAAAATACAAGCTTTAATAAGTATGGGTTTAACATAAATAACACATTTACTAGTTGAATTGTCACCAAGTCATTTACAAAAAAGGAACAACTAGTGGGTGTGTTTTAGAACAGGCAGAGATTTTGATATGCTGTTAACTAGGGTTTTCAGTAACTTGACAATGATCTGTCATGCATAATGCATTTATTACTTTTTACTCCAATTTTTTTTTAATTACCAGTTTTTTCTTAGAACCTCCTTGCCTTCCCTAAATCCCATCTTCTCATTCAACAAGAGGAACACACACACAAAAACCTAACCAAGGTAGGATAAGGTGGAATTAGCACACCATTTTCTCCTTGTCCCTGGCAGCAGTTCTAGGCAAGACAGCCTCCATCTAAAGTGAATAACATTCTTTATATATTTAAGATACACACTCTTGTTTTTACTATGCTCAGAATTCCTGTTATTTATTGATAATTAAGCAGTGAATATTTAAACAAGTGGGTTGTCATAAAAATCATGACATTTTTTGCTGTTTTTCAAGCGAAAGTGTTCTGTCGCTTGTTGACAACCCAGTATATGTAGAATGTAGCAATATACTGGTGTCCAATTGTTTAGCTTAGATCCCTTAGAAGAAAATCTAGAGTCCAAATTATATTCCACAAATTGCTTGCCTTTTCCCCCAAGTACTGTAAATATTATTTGCTATTGAGCTTGTAATTAGTTTGTGTTATAAGCACTATCAACAGATTTTTTACTTGAATCAGTAGATTATATTTGCTTTTACTTTCTTTTTGGGCACTGATAAAATTTTACCTTTCAAGATAGTGCCTCTTAATTTACTTGATAACTATATCATTATCAGTCTGTCCATGCATAATGGAGGAAGGCTTCCTAGAATTGTTTCAACAGTTAGGAAATCATTATTTATTAGTGTGTCTGTCCATGCTATGGGGTTTCCACGTAGCAGAGTTCTTCAGGTGTCACTGAAGGCTGAATTTTGGAAACCGTGAATTCATGAAGTGCACTCAAGCTAGAATCATTTCTAGAATGGTTTTGTCACCAGGTAGTGATAATAATGAAGTGAATTACAATAGTATTCCAGTTTTAGAAACTTAAATCTATTCATAAATTCATTTACAGTGAATTTAAATGATTTCAAAAATCTCCAAAATAAGCACCCTGAGTTTCTTATAAATTAGAAGAGGCAGTTTTACACATGTAACACCTTCATTTAGTAGTGTTTGTAATAAGTGGGTTATATTAGTTCTTAAAAAAAAATTCCCTTGAGATTTTAAAAGTCTCATTTTAGATCTTTAAACTGTTACCATGTTAACCCATTAATTGTAGATAACTTTCTATTATAAAAATGATTTAAGTATTTTCATATAATTTGAATTTGATGAACCAATTCTCATACTTAGTAGCTCAGTAAAGCTTGAGTTTTCATTTTTTTACATATGAACTTGTTCTTTAATTGAAAATATGTTATATTCACATAATCAGGGAATTTTTCTTTAGTTTCTGTCAAAAAGTGATTCCTTAAAAAGAAAGGTTATCACTCTAAGTTCCAATTTTTGAAGAGAAAGGATTGGATAAACAAGTGAGGTCCATTCAGTAAACCAAAAATCACTTGTTGCATCTGGGTTGGCTATAGTGTGTTAGCTTTTTCTTTAATCACCATTACCATGTACCTACTTCCTTGTGCACACATGTATATTCATGTGCGTGCATACTAGCACGTACAAACACACTAGTCCCTTATTTACGTGTTGGCAAAATGGTAGGGGTGATTATTGAATTCGTGGTGACCATTTTCCCACCATGATCAATGCCCACATTTTTTGGGGTGGTGGTCTTTCATTTTGAATTGCTCATAGTTTATTTTAGGTCACCCAGAAGAGTTTTTAGTGTGAAATGTTAAAAAAGGAACCATAAAATAGCGTAGTTGGGGATCTTGTGTTTTGTTTAAAAATAAGCAAAACAACTAATGCTTGAGTGAATCACATCTTTGATGTAATTTGCAAGTTGAGGTAATAACCACAATACGAGTTACACCAATTTTACCCCATTTTTCCCCTTATTATCGCAAACATTCTCTGGGCTTACAGTGCTGCTTTTTCTATCCTTGGATTGTGGATTTCTATCATCAACCCACAACCACAGACTCAACCAGAAGCAGATGGCTGGATTCTTGTGAAAGAGGACTTTCATCTAGGGCTCCTCAATGTCCAGCTTTAAAATTCCTGTTGTCAACATTAAATCACAGGCAAATTTTTCAAGCATTGTTTTTGGTTGGAGGTTACCCAGCTTAAGAAAATTTTGAAATTGGGTAACCCACCATTTGTTTTAATAAGAAAAAATTAAAATTATTCATTATCCATAAATAATTTTTAGAGATTTTTTTTCAACACCTGTAATTTTTTTCTCATCTTCAACAGTCACAGTTGCAGATTATATTTCTAGAGCTGAGTCTCAGAGCAGACAAAGAAACCTCCCAAGGGAAACTTTGGCTAAAAACAAGAAAGAAATGGTAAGGAGAATTTAACCTGTAGGTTCTGTTGTTTTGGTTTTTTTTCTTTTTTTGGTATGGTTTAGTTTTATTTTTACCTTTTAACTCACTGTCTGATCACTTGTTCCCAAGCTAGACAAATAATTTTAAAGACAGTTAACTCTTGATTTTGTTCATGGCCCCAAGTAACTGAAGATATGCATGCTTGAACCTGAAATTCTTTCAGTTAGAGCTTGAACTAGCAGTTGGAAAAAATTGTTCTGCCTACGGATACTAGGCATAGAGACTTGTTAATTTGGGGAGCAATAGGCTATAGACCTTTTCTCAGTGATGGATATGGACTTAGATTCAGTTCTTTTAAATGTTTTAAGGGATTTGATATATGAATACAACCTCAAAAATAAGGTGAGTGAAACAGGTGATCTATTTGCTCTGCTTAGCTATTAATTGTTTATATTCTAATTTACATGGTGAGTATTCTAGTAGTAAAAATTAGATACAATTTCAGTAAACAAGTCCAGATTCGTGGTTTAGGCACTGTTAGGTACTGGAGATACAGAGTTCAAAGATTAAGAGAGGTGTGAATATACTGGTATTTGCTTTGAATTTTATTAATGTCTTAATTCTTTGAGCCATTGTGATATATGAAACTAAGACTTATTAGCTAATTAATGTTTATATAGTTATTTTTCTCCTCAGCTATAGATTTCATTTATAAAGAAGTTGAAAAAGTTGTCTTCCCTTTGGCAGGCAAAAGATGTGATTGAAGAGCATGGTCCTTCAGAAAAGGCAATAAATGGCCCAACTAGTGCTTCTGGCGATGAAATTTCTAAGCTACAGCGTACTCCAGGAGAAGAAAAGATTAATACCTTAAAAGAAGAAAACACTCAAGAAGCAGCAGCAGTCCTGAATGGTGTTTCATAAACTGAAGAAGTTCCTAGTTTACAGTTCTTTTACATTACATTTTACAATAGTGCTTGTACAAGCTTGCCAAAGATAGAATATGGATCGCCAGTCTTTACATCGCACTTTCAGTTCCTCCATTTGGAATTCAGAAAGGGGAGGGATCCTGAAGAAATCATATGTTAAACATACTTTGACACCTACTGTGTTATAAAATATATCATCAGATGTGCCTTGAGAATAGTATATGTAACATTAAAAAAAGTTGCTGGCTATAGGAAATGTTATTTTGTTTTCAAAATATGGCAGAGATTGGGGGTGGGTGGGTGGGGTGTGGGATCCCTAATATTCTTTATGAAAGCATTAGCTGCTTTTGTTACATTTTTAATAATATGCAACCACTTCTTCACCTGAGGAAAACTAGAATGAAATGCAGTCTAAAATATTTTGCACTGAATTGTAATTTCATAGTCTGGAAACTGGTCTGTTTTAATGTGTTTTTTTAAATGCTGTATGTAGAGGGAAATCTGCAGACCACTGGAATACATTTGTTAAACTCATCTGCAGGGACACTGGGTGATATTGGCAGTGACTGTTCTACATTGAGGCTTTGTTTGGTTTATTTATTAAAGTGTACAGTATTTAAAAATCAAACATAGCTTTAGTTAAAACACTAAGCTGAATTAGTCATGTCCATTCAGACATAACCTAAACTACTGAAAAGATCAATTTCCAGAAGGTTTAATTCTGTATAAACTACATGTTAGTCTTAAGGTAGGGTATCTTTTTTTCTTTTCCCTTATTTTTCCCTTTTTCTTCTTTTTTTTTTTTTATTTTGGTTGTTTGATGTGCAATATGTTTTTGTATGCAGGTAGTAAATAAACTTTGATCTTCCATTTGCTGATTTTTAACTTTCTACTTTTTAAAAAAAATGTTACAAAGTAGTTGGAGCTACTTGTAGATCTAGAATAGTCCTAATTGCTTTTTATAAAAGCATCTATATGTGCTCATAATTAGTATGAAAACATTAGTTGCGAGTTAATCATTTTGTAATGATCCTTTAAAATCCCGGCATTTAGAATTTAGGGCTTTTAGAATAGGGCATGGGAATAGACTAGTCATTTGTAGTTAGAAAAGTTTGTACATGAAGTTACAATGAAATGCCACTTTTAAAAGGCACTGTAGTAAAACCCAAAGTGACTTTTCCCTTGGAGGTGTTGCAAATTATGACAAGCAATTTCTAACTAAGGATTAGGCCACCAGTTTTTTTCTTAAGGAAATAATTTTGAGTGTACTCAATAATGATTGAAAGCAAATAATTAAAACTTTTAAGCATATTCTCTGACAAGACTTTGGGACCATAAAGTATGTTACAATGTTTTATAAAAATAGCAGTGACTCAATTTTATGAAACATACAGATTTATGGGATGGTTTTGCTCCAGAGTTTTATGGGATGGTTTTGCTCCAGAGTATTATATAGATTACTGAGCAATAATGGCCTCTTTTTGTCATTTGACATCTAAAGTTTTTTATGTGCATCATTTGCTATGCACATAAAAAATGTTCAATGATTTTAGTTGATAGAGTGAAAGAAATTTCAGGGTATAAAAATGCAGTATTTGCCAGGTCAGTTAGCATATAAACCTGGCTCTCAGTTTTGTTATAGTTGAGGTTATGATGTGATGGTATTAAAAGCTTCTTCCTAAAGTTTTGATTACTCAGAATTTTTAACGTATAATGTGACTAGTGCCAGCCTTGCAGTTTGAGTAATATTTCCATGTAAGTTCATGCCCTTAATTTTAATAATTTTCCTATGCATCCTTCTCAGAAGTAAGTAAAATTGTTGACTTACTCTTTGTTTTATTCACTAATTGGATTACAGACATTAACGTGTAAGAATTCCCATCAGTTTCCCCAATGGTAAAAATGGTGTAAAGAAAAAAGTTTTTATTCCATGTGTGGAATATGTTGACTAAAATTCCTCTTTATTTCAGTGGTAATGGGAAAGCAAAAACGCAAAGCCATCTTAAGTGACTATAGTAGAAGTTATTTAAAGCTAGTAACCAACCACATTCTAGGAAATATTCTAGGAAATCTCATGTGCAACTGACTAAACTTGCAATTTCATTTAGATAGGCTCTTTTGGGGAGGTAAATGGTACTTACTGAGATTTAGAAGTGAAAAGCCTATTTCCCAAAGGTTACCTATCACTATTGATTCAGGTAGTCTTCCAGATAAGTTTTACCTTTTTGGCTACTACATCAGTAAGACAAGGTATTGCTGTAGGTTAGTTTGCATTGTATACTAAAGACAGACCTGGAATAAATAAGAGATCTAAAGATCTTGTGCAGCTCAATACTGTTTTCAGCACATATATGTGAACTAAATTATGAAGTGTATTAGCTGAGATTACACAGAGGCAAAATTATATTCCTGAAACCTTGAGAGGCTTAGTATTTCTGGGTTTGAGATCACTTTTTGAGCTTTCAATAAAACTCTACCCCCAAACGCTTATGTGTATTACTAGGTCAATCGCCATTGGTAAAATTGTAGAGCTAAACAGAAAAGTTCACTTTGAAATATGTGGTGTGCTCTCCCTGGTGGTGCAATGGGTTAGATAAAGCACAGCACTATGAAGCTATAGCAGCCAACTGCAGTGTGAGTTCAATCCCTAGGCAGGGCAGTGACCCACGTTGTGTGGCAGACCTCTACTGACACCCCCCCACCCCCGCTGCTCCCCTCAGCAGTGTACATCTTACTGTTCTGTTCCCCACTCTGTCTCTGGTGAATCCTCTAACCCTCTCCTGCCCTACCCCTGCATCTCTGGCCTGTACCCCAGTTCTGTATGCATAAATTAACTAATAAAAATGTGGAGTTAAGCACCACAACATACTAGTGAACTCATGAAAACACGATCAGGGCTAAGTGAGGTTACTTATAAAACAATGTTTAACAAAAAATTCAGGTATATAGATGAGAACAAAAGAACCAGAGACCAGGGTAAACTTAAGCTAGTGATAAGGCAAGAGTAGGTAGTAGTGTTATAGTCTGGATCTCCTTTCTTGCTAGCCATTTTGATATATCTGATTTCCATCACCTTTCTGCTAGTTAGTTATTTTTGTGGCTATTAAACTGCTGCAAGAAAGACTAGTGTTTAACAGGAGTAGGGTTTCTGATGTTAATCTTGCAGTTACACTGGAAAATTACTAGCATTTGTGTCTTCATATTTACACTTTGAGCTTGAATTCCAGCTAGGTAGGATACTAAAAGCTGTGCCTAGCATGAACTTGAAGGAATAGAAAACTTGCTCTAATACAATCAATTGTATGTTGAATGATTGGTGGTCATTCAGTATGACAAAATTTGCACTTGGATCCTTTCAAAGTCTTTAAGGAACTTGTATTTAAATTGAATCTATAGGTTAGGCAACACTCTGTAAAGTTGTGTTCAGTATCATTGCTGTTAATGGTTTCAATCCCCTATATTAAGGAAATCTGGGGTAGTGAATTTGTCAACACATTATTGGGATGTATGGTTGAATGGATAGCAGTCCCTTAAAACTCATTGATTAAACAGTGTTTGGATTTTATTTCAGAAACTTGTAATACAGCATTAGAATCTGCTATTACTCAACTTTTGGCAACAGGTAAATCTGAATCCCACAACTGCTGATTGAAAATAAAAGGTGTTGAACTGTTGGAAATGGGCCAATAATTGCTCATTTTTGACCCACAAAGGTGCCATATTCTTGCGGGACAAACTAATTTTACATTTTCAAGTATAATCCTTTAACCCAGGAAAAATCCAATGTCCCCAAGTCAGTCACATTGGATTATGGGGAAGCATGTAATTTATAAGGAAATGTATTCTCTTTTTTAAATGAGTTAGTGTTTCACTTCAGATTCAGGTTCATTTAAGTATTTAAATATTTAAGATGTGTAAAAATGCCCCTGGAGAAACTATTGCAGCTTTGAGTTTTCACTTTTCTACTGGCCTTTTTCCTTTTATAATTTGAAAAGATTTGGTATAAGAACAGAATTGGGACATGTACTATCTTTCTCTGTATTATCCCATTGAACTAGAAAGGATTGGACTAGTTGATCTCTTAAGGTTTTCAGTTTTAGTTACAAATATATGTGGGATTCTCAGTAATGGCTGTTACCAAGAATCTTGGGTGAATTAATCCCAACCATTTCTAACTTGCCTTTATGTAATCTATGGGTATACAAAGTAAAGGCAAGCTTACTTTCTCACTTTAACTTAAAAAAATCCTAAGTGTACTATTTAATAATTTCATAAAGTTGTTTGAGTGGTGTTACTTTGGGGGTGAAATTACAAGGATATTTTCTGAGTGTTTTATATCCTTTTAATGGATTAATTGTGAAATGTACCTAATGATTTTCTGATCTGTAGACCATTTTCATTATACATTTCCCTTAGATTTCCTAACATGAACTAGTTTCTATTAATTGTTCACTGGAGCTTATACCTCAAACTTAGTTTTCAGTTTGCTTATTTTCTGGCTGTAAAGAAATTTGTCTTGTACACATATGAAATTCCATTAACTGAAACAACACTAAGGTAACAGCAGTGTTAATTAACATGTTCCATATTATACCTTAACACTAATGTCATTAAGTTAGGAATAGGTAACATTGGATAGAGCTCTTCCTATATACTGTTGTTGAGGCAGTGTTTGTCTCAGGTAGTTAAACAGCACTGGGGAGGATGGTTGCCAGCAAGAAAATGCAAGCTTAAGTAATTTAGAAGCTCAAGGTTATTCTCAGCCTGAGATCCTTCAACAAAAAATTTACTCTCGCATTTATTCAAGCAGTGCTTATTATGCTACACCAAGTTTATAGGTTTTTTCTGTTGTTTGAAGATTGAGAACTAATTTCTAAATTTTTTATTGGAGTCAATATGTTTAGGGGATAACTTAAGCTTAATGTGACCCTTCTGCACACACCTCTGAATGCAGAACAACTTCTGTAGGTAATTTACCAATAGAAAGATACATTTTTAGTGAAACAACTCAGTATTGTGGCATAAAATATTGAAGTTAACTCATTTCATTGAAGCATTCTGCTTGAGTGAATTTTTGAAAACAAGGTTTTAAGGTAGAGAATAAATTTTCACTATATATGCTGAATGCAATATAACGTTTCAGTATGGCCATAATAGTAAGTTTAGGTGCTTTTTTTTTTTTTCATGTTGAAATAGGCTAGTTTTCCAGTGGTTCACTGCTAGCTGCTGTCTCCTCTTGATTGTGCTAAGTTGGAACATAGCAAATTAAGAGCAGAAAAGAAAAATATAGGCAAACTTTTAAGTATTGTATAGGTAATGGGCTGACCTATTCATACAAGTATTCTTTTTTAGGTTGAAATGATTTAGGTCTTATGCTGATCTGCATAACTAGATAATTTTAAAGCTTTGAGTTAGTGCCAAAATTTGGAAAATTTATGCAAAAAAGATTTCATGAAACCCTTAAATACTGGTAAAGATACCTTCCACAACCACTTGATACTGCTCAGTTTCAGCACTAGTAAAGCAGTTCTTAAAAAGCAGTAAAGAATTTATTCAATAATTCCAGCCCAGATGCCAGTATAAGTTAAAAGGGGATGAGACTTAGGGAGGAACAGACCTCGAATGCCAGAACTAGTTTTAAGGATATGTATAGGAATTTCCTCCAAATACCTGTTCACTAAATACAAACCACAAATGAACCTAGTACTAGTGCTGTCACCCAGGACTTAACAATTTTACTACCTTTATAATCTTGGAAACCCCTTTGGCTTTGTTTCTGTATCCATAAAATTTGCAGTAATTGCACAAGTTTCAAATCAGCTCTTTTCCCCTTAACAGAGACAGGTGAACCCTAAACACACAGATGATTTGCTCAAAGCTGTGTGGCTATTGCTGCATTATTTGACTGGAAACCTGCACACCCTATTTCCTTGTGTGTTTCAACCATACTTTCAAACACACCCAATGATGATAAGGGTCCCAGCTAGATGTGTAATGAGACGTACAAATTCAGTACCACCAAAAAATGGCTTCTGTCATGAGTGGCACATGCAGGGCAGCGCGATTGCTCTGCATGCAGAATTGACATCAAATTCTGTACCACCAAGGTAAACATCTGAGTTATCAGACTTAACTTTAAACTAGGTTGGAGGAAGATGAGCCATCACACAGTATGTTTTGGTGTTAATAAGTTTTACATGTAAATTGTACCTAAAAATGTTAGCTAGCCTACTAAAATAACGGGAAAATGTTAGGTCATGGTAAGGCTACACAAGTATTTTATAAGAAACAGAAGGTGAAGACCCTTTAAAGATCATACTTGCGTCAATTACCCGTAATAATGTAGAGCAGTCATAGATTACTGTCTCCAAACAAAATACAAATTTGTCTAATAGATAATGCAGTAGGGATTCTTTTCAAAAGGGATTACAGGAAATAATAATTACTGAGAAAACTACTCTGCCATGCTGCTGCTTTAAAGTGGTTTTCACTGTCTTAACAGTGTGCTGTTTGCATTAAAACAATTTACATTGACAACATTAAATTTACCTTTTTAGAGTTAATGATTGTAGGTATATTTTAACAGTTCGTAAAGCTTTTAATTGCTGAAATAAAGGTTAGTAAGCTAGAATACAGTGGGTCCTCATTATCAGCAGGTTCCTTACTTGGGATTTCACCTACTTGTTAAAATTTATAAGCACAACATCAATCCTTGTGTTTTTGTGGTCATTCATGCATGTGCTCAAAGTGATGTTCTGCCTTGCTTGATCTTTCATACCATAAACAATTTCGTGATAAGTGTAGAGTCAAAATTTTCATATTTGTGTGTTTTGTTGACAATTTCTATTTAAGATGGTTTATGAATTCAGTTAATTGCTCTGATGCTACTAAACACAAGGTTGTGATGTGTTGTTGTGAGTTAAGTTTATATATTGATTGGTTGACAAATGCTATTTTGATGAGGCTCACAGGGATGTGTATTTTTCTGTAGAAGTGATTTAGTGTTCACAACTTCATAGAATGTAACTTCTAATAACAAAAATCACCAGTACTTTTATGCTTCATTGCCCCTAGAAGTAATGGAAAAGATATATTCTATACAAGAAACCGCTTTAGCTAAATCAACAAGTGGATTTTTCATATTTTAGAAAAAATATATCTCAGTTTTAGAATTACCCCTAAACTCATCCAGTCCATCAGTAAATGATTACTACCATTGTGACCTAGATCTTGAAAGTCTGCTTTCTTGTAAGATCTTTAGAATAGCTTAAATTATCATCTAAACTACATCAGAGTAAATATTGGTTATCACAGAATATTTTTTTCATTTTATACAGTCCCTTGAGATACTGAATAATTTGTTAGATTAATAGCAATTACTTGTCACGTAGTTTAAATATGTCACTGTAAACATTTTGACAACAGAGCATTTCAGTCCTGCTGTGTGTAGGCTTGATCATAATGAAAAATTTTTGACTGTTAACCAATTTATAAATTCACTTAAAGGTATTAATAGAATACAACAGATTAAAAACAGCACCAGTACCCTCAAATCTTTATCAAGTTCTGATGCATGGAATGTGAATTTTGACAGTGGCATTAATGTACCTAAAAACTTATTAGGTCAAGGATGTGGCTAAATGTGCTGTAAATTCAAGGTGTCAAGTAATTGACTTAGTTTCTGTGTGCCTTAAATAGCTTTTCCTGTTAGGTAGGCCTCTACTGGAATAACCTGTATGAATGAAGTCATGTTTTTCACATAACAGTTTATTGGTCTCCCATTAAGACTGGGCAACTTATTTGAAACAAGTGTTATGTTCATTGAAATAGTTACAAAATTTAATGAGTAATGAGTTGTTATTCAAGTCACATGTATTCATAACTGAATATTAACCTCCAAATTTTATGATTTACAAATAGCCTGATTTATACTTGCAT